CATAACTGACGATGCACTTAATGAGCCCCATTATGACAAACAAGGCCATCATTACATAACCTTCACTTGCCATTAACACGCCGCCTGCGCGTTCTCGAGAACGAGGCGACGGTTTCGACACATGGCATATTTACAGACAGGCGTACGCGAAGGGTCACGACCCCTTAACGACCTCGGTCTCAGCTCCTCGACCCACGGTCTTCGGAGCTCGGGGGGATAGTGTACTATCCGTACCGATACACCAAGCTCGAGCTCGGCATCTCAGTGCGAGGCGACCTTGGGCACGCGCTAGGTGACGTCAGCTCGACATCCAAAGAAGATCGTAACTGATCTCAGGCCCAAGGCCCAACGAAACCCTAATTCACACTAAGGTACGTGCATTATTTATACGAGACTAATACTCCCACAAACACTAACTTTAGCATCGAAGTCTCTTTTGCAGGTACCACCGTAATCTTGGAGCATCAAACGTACCAGTGAAAGAGGCCCACCAATCTTACCCAGCAGATCGTTCCCTACGACCGATCTCCGGTAAGAACAACTTTCATTTGGGCTTCTTTAAGTCTCCAAACTCTATTAAGGCATGAGAGTATAAATAAGCTTCCTTAAACCATTGTAATTAACTTTGAATGAAATTGAAATTAGCTTTGAAGTTTTTGAGTGAAGACTTTGAGTTTCTGTTTGGTCCTTAGAAGAACCTTTGATTCTCATCGAGGTTTGATGAAACCTTATGACAAATCTTCATCAATCATATCAATTCCAATTAGAACTGTGGAAATTTTCTCTTTATATTCTTTTCTCCATCTTTCTGATTTTTGTTCTTGAATTCTTCATTCATCTTCAATGGTGATTTTTCGGAACGATCAAATCTCACGAATGCAAAAGGAGTACTACATATCATTTATCCTTATATATATATAACTATTTGAAAGAAAGTATCTTATTTTAAAATTAAATTCTAATATATATTTTATCTCATAATATAAATTATTTATTATAAATTTGACTTAAACATATTTTTAGTCCTTGTAAAATGTGTAAGTTTTGATTTTGATCTCTATAAAAAAAATTCTTTATTTTTCATCCTTCTAAATATATGTGAACATTATTTTTTATCTTTGTAATGTTAGATGAATTTTATATTAATTTAATAATGTGACCCATGTAATTTAATAGTCTAACTTTAATTAAAGTCGGCTCAATATGATGGTTATTGGTCCAATAGAGAAAATAAAGTTAGAAAGGGTTAATTGAGTAATCTCTCTCCTCTTCCTTTTAAATTTTAAAATAGAGAAGTTATAAAAAAAATAGTTTTTATAAAAGGTACAATCTCTTGACCATCAAGGGAACAAAGAAAGGAAAAGAGGAGAAAAGAATCAAAAGGAGCATCTTCAAGAAGAAACATACAAGACAAAGAAAAAAAATTATGGATCCATATAAGTCTCTTTGTCATTTCTATTATTATATTGTTAAGAGAATTCTATATATTTAGAAGTATGTTCGAGGACCAATAGAAAACAAGCAAAAGATAGATAGGGTACACGCGTAATAGAATGAGGAGCAACTAAAACATCACATGTACCCCACAATCTCGAAAAGAAGACTATGTTACTCAAACGAGCAGTTATAAGGTGGTTACAAACGGTTCTAGGGGGTTACCCATACAATGCAATCACAGAATGGATATGGGCTATGAAGAATATGTGCATAATAACTACCTCTCAAAAATGATGATTGTAGGCTCCCAAGATACGACTATTCGATAGTCAAAAATGGTTTCCAAAAAATAGTTGAGAGTGGTTGAAAGAAGTTACACAAGTCACAAGTAGTGGAGCAGTTATGCTTAACACGATGAATCCAACTATTCTTCCTATCCTTCTATAAATAGGCAAGTTGATATCATTAAAAAGGGTCAAAAGTTCAATACTTACACACTCGCATGCATCTATTGCCTATGTCCATGGTTCCTATGCGCGAGATTGCTGAGTATGATTTCTTGGCCACTCTTTTTCTTTTCTTTTCTTAGAGTAGTTCTAGCCTAGTTAGTATATTATAGTATTGTAGTTCTGTTGCTTCTCAGAATCTTTATGCACTGTAATTCGACAATTATTGGAAGTAAACAAATTATGATTTCTCTTATCAATATATGTTGTTCATTCGATTCATTTAAATGTTTATATGCATGAATGTCGTTTCATTATAGTCATCGAAAAACATTTAAAAAATTTTGCATGCTAAATAACATAAAATTGAACCTCGATTAGTTTAACACATTAATCACTTTCAATTGGAAAATTTGATTTACATACCTAAATTGAAAACATTGTTGGTTCGAATGAAAATAATTCATAAATGAATTTCACCCCAAACATATATGAATAAGTGAGAACCATAAAATTCAAGATCCTATATAGTTCCCATAATATGTAATTTTAGGAAACTGTCATAAAAGAATTTTCATTTGGTATCAGAGCAAGTTGTGAATTTTGTATTCTCCATAAAAGATTAAATATTTTACGTTCAATTTTTTATAGACCTTTAATTTTAAAATTTAGAATTTTGTTTCAGAAAATAATTTCAAATGCATAACAAATGCAGGTGGGGATTGAATTTTTATTGTGTAACAGTACCTTTCACAGCATAATTATTGCTCAAAGGGTAGGTACTGTCTGTTTAATGCCACCCGTCTTTCCGAAACTAAGCCAGTGGCGTGTATTGCAATATACATGGATCCAACTATTCCACATGTAAAGGATTTTTTATATTAATCTTTAATATATGTATGTATTGAATGAAGTATAGTTGGAACATTAAATTTAAAAAAAAATTGTTTTAGATTTACTATATTATTCAATGTGTGAACTTAGAACATCTCCTGATAGGAGCAACTCTTTAGAGTTGCTTAGTGCATGGATATATGTGTCTGGTGGTTCTTATTATGCTACATTAGCATTAAGTAACTTTACTCTATTTTTTACTCCAACAGTGAGTTTCTTCAAACAATTTAAGGAACTCAATATTTTATAATTTTTTAATCTCTATTATTATTATTATTTACGTTTTCTTCTTCTCCGACGACATCACCAACGGCTCTTCAATTTTTTTTTCGTTTTCTTCTTCTCCCACACTTATCTTTCTTTTTCTTTTTATTTTGCTTCATCTTCTTCTTCTTTCTTTTTCTTCTTCTTCTTCTTCCCACTCATCCATCGTCGTCGCACCTTTTCCACGTCTCCGCCACTGCACCTCCGCCATGCCTCTGCTGTTACCACGCGAAAGAGGTCGCACCTCCGCTTCCATTGCGCGAAGGAGGTCGCGCCTCCGCTGCGAACACGCGATGGAGGTCACGCCTCCGTTGCCACCGCGGGAACAAGGTCGCGCTTTCGCTGCCACCGCCGATGGAGGCCGCGCCTCTGCTACCACCATTGCGTGAAGGAGATGGCACACCGCCACCGCGCCTCCACCATTGTCGGGTCTCTTCTCTTCCCTCATCCTCTTCTCTTTTCTTCCCCTTTCCCTCTTTTTCCAGTTAAAAATTAATTGTATTTTATTCTTAGCAACGGTTGCTTATATAAGCAACCCAAACAAAAATTAAGCAACTCTTATGCCATGTAGGACTCCTTCAATGGAAAATTTTTTTAAGGATCTGTTGCTTAGATTAAGCAACTCTCCAAGCAACAACCATTGGAGATGCTCTTAACATGCTACAGTAACATTAAAATAGGGTCATTCATTTATCAATTATCAATTTTAAAAGTTATTAATTAAAGTTAATTTTTTAATTGTATAAATGCATGCACCAAAACACAATATTTAAGATGTATTATGTTGATTTGGAATTAAATGTATGATAAATATGTTAGTCATTAAAGTGTCCAAATTTTAAGTTTATTTAATTCTAAATCAACATTGATTCAATTCAATTATCCATAGAATAAAAGATGCTAAATAATATGATTATTTGGTCTATGGTTATATTGACATTCATTGTTATAAGACCTTTATGGATCGCCTAAAGATTGATTAGGTGGTCTTATTATTAGTGAATATAATTGTGTGTGACTTATGTGCTATTAAATTATTTATATACCCAAAGGTAATAAATAATTTTAATTAGTGCATATTTAGTTGCCAAATAATGATTATTATTTTAGCATCAAGATTTAATTGAAATTATCAGTTTAAGTATCACCCAAAGGCAAACTTAAATGTATGACTAGTTGTTTTGTTTGAATCAATTAAATTTATTCAAAGCATTAATGTATGAGCTTGTATATATATTGATTGCAGCTTCTATGAATTTATTTGCTTTGGACAATGGTGTGATCAAGTTTAATGGGCTTAACTATGCTAATTGGTTTGAATAAATTGATTTTCAACTTGGTGTGGATGAAATGCCACCAGCCATTACTGAGACTAGTACAGATGCTGACAAACCTCTTTATGAGGCTTGGCAAAGGTCTAACAAGCTGTCATTGAACTTGATGCGTATGACTATGGCTGAAAAAGTTAAGCCATCTATGGCCAAATCAGAAAATGTGAGAGAATTCATGAAAATGATTAAGGATTACTCACAATCAGATATAACTGACAAGTCCATTGTGGGAACTTTCATTAGTGAGATGACTACCAAAAAGTTTGATTGGTCACAACTCATTCATGATCATGTAATTGGAATGACTAATTTAGCAGCTAAGCTGAAGTCAATGGGAATGGAAGTGAATGAGTCCTTTCTAGTACTGTTTATCATGAACTCCCTTTCTCTTGAATTTGGCCAATTCTAGGTGAATTATAACACCATTAAGGATAAATGGAACCTTCAAGAAATCAAGGCCATGTTGGTTCAAGTGGAAGGGAGGTTGAAGAAAGTGAAGGATCATTTTATCCATCTCACGACTCATGATGGTGCTAGCAACAGCAAGTCCAAACCAGGAAAGAAGAACAAGAAGGTTGAGCCGTGCAGAGCTTTCTTTTTCTCAAGCTTCTTCTCCTTCTCCATTGTCTTCTTCCCGGAGCTCGGATTTCTTCACCGAGGTAAGGGAAGCTAGGATTCATGCTAGTTGTACGAAAATGAGTTTAGAAACTCATTGATGGTTTGATGATTTGATGATTGTTGGCTGTTTTTGAAGAAAATGGGTTTTTCAGGTTTCCGGGGTTTGATGAAAAATTTGGGGATTTTGATGATTTGTGGTTGCATGTTGAAAATGAGGTGTTTTTCTTGTTGTTTGATGAAAATGTGGAGCTTTGGGCCGATTGCATGTTTTTGGATGACTTGATTTGTGTAGGTTTTGAAGAAATTTTTGAAGTTGGAGGGTTTCTTATTAAGAGCATGCCGGGAGCAGTTCTTGGCGCCGGGCGCGTGACTATCAGAGGGCACCTTTGGTCGAGCCCATCGGGCGCAAGGTTGTGCACGTCGGGCGAGCTTGAAGAGGGATGCCCCTGGATGGCTCACGCCGGGCGTGGTTGGACCACGCCGGGCGTGGTTGGACCACGCTGGGCGCGCTATCAGTCAGTGACCCACTTCGTTGTGATTCTGGTGTGGCGCCGGGCGTGACTACGTCTCACCGGGCGTGGAGACTCCTTGGGAGTCTCTACCAGAGGTTATGCTGGGCGCAAATGGTATTGCACCGGGCGTGAGACCTTGGGGAGTCTCTGCCTTCCCTGCACCGAGCGCGTATTTGGGCACGCTGGGCGCGTGAGACTCCTTGGAGTCTCTGCCTGGGTTTGCGCTGGGTGCAATTGGTATTGTGCCGGACGCGTTGAGCCCTAGTGCTCTCTAGTTGGGCCACACCAAGCACGACCATGAGTGCGCCGGGCGTGGATGTGTGATTACTTTATATGTTGTTAAGTGTTGAAAATGCTGATAATTGTTGATATGTGCTAAGCTGAGTTGTCATTGATTAATGTTGTTAATGTCGTACGATGAATAATTGTTGAGTTGTGTTGTATGCTGATATTTTTTACTGTGTTGTGTTGTGCTGCATGCTAATATAAATTGTTGTAGGCCGTAAGGCTAAGCTGTTGTAGGCCGTAAGGCTGAGCTGTTGTAGGCCGTAAGACTGAGCTGTTGTAGGCCGTAAGGCTGATCTGTTGTAGGAGATCTTCGAGCTGATGTGGGTGACGACGCATTGTGTGTTTACTGCTGTTTATGTTGTATGACGTGAGCTATATATGTGATGAGTTGTATGCTGATGATGTGTTGATAGCTGTAGCTGTTTACCATTCATGTTTTTATATATATGTATGTTGATTCTTTTTACTAGCTTACCCTTTGTTGTTTCCATGTGGTTTGGACTGCAATGATCATACTATGTATGGGAGCAGAGCAGGGTTAGGTTGGTGGTCTTGAGGCAAGTCTGTAGCTGGCAGATGGAGTTATTCTTTTGTTGTGTTTAACTACTTGGAGTAGCATTGCTGGATGTATTTTATATACTCTGATTTTTTTAAGCCCCAGATTTAACCTTGTGTATATATTTTAGCCGCTTATATATATATGCATGTTCTTGTCTGTATGGTGCCGTATTGTTGAGTTGTGTGAAGGCCAGGTAGGTCGTTACAAATTATATTCATAAAATTTTATGAAGGTTTAGGATCTCATCAAGTAGTAATTATTGAGAAATTAATTTTCGATTATCTAGACATTTTAGAATTAAAAATATCAACAACATATTTTTTATTATTAATTAAAATTTATTAAAAAATATAATTTTTTACGAGTCTCACACCTCACTTCTTATTTAATAAAAACTAGATTTAATACCATATGATCTACAATTTTGTTTGATAGATTGGATGATTTGATATTTAATTGATTATATAATTAAAAATCAACAATAATATATATATATA